GCAATTATTAATATTATACACACACATATATATATATATTGTTTTTGGTGGTTTGATGAGGGATATTACACTTTTGTTCTGTATTTAAATTTTTTATCAGACTATAACCTAGAACCCCTTTCTTTCTTCCTCCCCTCTGCGTCTCTCTCAAGGGAATGCATTATGTACACTAGTTAATTAATTTCCTTGTCAGAATACAGTCAGGGTTGTTTGTGTAAAGGTCACATGTGGCAGTAAATCACATGAAAGGATACTGTATGTTGGGGAAGATGGGAACAGACAAAACGTGGCGACAAAACGTGTGTGTGTGTGTGTGTGTGTGTGTTAGATGTCATGGATCTCATGTCTTTCTGAAGTGTTGGGTCTCTTTTAGCAGCAGCTGTCTGACTAGATTTCTGCCAGTAAAAACTCCACTAACATTCCCCAAAGAACTCATTTATTTAGGAGGAATAAGAAAGAGAAGAGATTGTTAAATCTGATAGTATTTTACGGAGAGAAAACGAAAACCACCAGTGGCACTAAATCATCAGAGATGGAAAAATGAAAAGAAAAAGTGCTAGAGGGAGAGTAAAAAGAAAGACTTCCTTTTTGAACTATGCCAATTGTTATTTTTAAATTAATTCCACCTGAATCTTTTTTAATTGTTTCGAGATGCTTTAGAATTGCAAGTTTATATTGATTCCAGGGTTGTGTGCCATTCTGAGATGCATTATCAATTGAAGTGAATTAGTAAACAAATTTGTATGTAATGAAATGCATTAAAATTCAAAGAAATTAATATATGACTGACTGTATTTTTCTTTGAAGCAAAGTTTATAAAGACAAATTGAAGGGTTTTACAATAGATAGATGGGTAGAACAACAGGTGATAGATAGATAGATAGATAGATAGATAGATAGTGACTCAGTTTAAGTGTATCAGAGAAATATAGTTCAGCTGGAGTATCTGATACATTGGCAGTGTGATCTGGCAACCAGCAGGGGATCTGGAAAAGCATAAAGCATCTAATAATCAGAAAGAACAGATGGAGTACACAAACACAAACACACTCATCAGCTGAGACTGCCTCAGGAACAGGAGCTGTGTGTGCAGCGCTGTACTACAAACCCAGTAGCCTATAAAGCGCTCATTTCTTGCTTTCTTACCTGCATATGGAACTGGTGCGTCTTTATCCAGAGCCACTAAAGGAGGATCCAACAGAACCACATCTGTGTTTTCTGTGATGACGCCGTGGTATGAGCTCTCGATCCACGGCTTGTGCTTATTCACTTAGAAAGAGGAAGAGAGAGATAAGATCTTTGATTTACTTTGAAATCAAACCATTGTGAATCTGTTTTGAAATACTTCTGCATCTCTAAACACAAGATTGCACCCTCTGTAATGTTCACAGAGGCATGATTCTCAGAATACTGTTCGGTCAATGCACACTGACATGAATGCCACTCAATAGTAGAAATGCTGCGAAACCCCCCTTTTGGAACCTTTATTTTTTAAAGTGTACTTTAATCTTTTTTAATCTGTTTAAAACAGTTGGTTAACTCAGTTGCACTTCCATCTCAATCAATGCATGAAATAGTTTCCAGGCCTGTTTCTTTTACATTCACTGTCAACCTTTGCACCGTGCTTGATCAGGCTGACTGGACTTTTCTTTCTTAATCAAAAATGAAAGAAGGAAAGAATGCAAGCCAGATTTTCTTTAGTGTTTATTTAAGGAGTTACACAGGTTGTTGTAAGCATCACACAACAATGTTAATTAAGGTGTTGTATGACCTAAAGGTGACGATACACGGGGCAACTTTTTTGGATTTGGCTGGGCAACATTGCCAAGCGATGTTGCTTGGGGACTTTACCTTTGAGAATGGGCAACAAATTTCTATCTGGATACTTTAGATCGGTCGTGGGCCCTGTGTCTCACCTGGTTGCCCGTTGACGGCAACATTGCCCAGCTACATTGCTCAAAAAGTTGCCCAGTGTATCATCACCTTTAGGGCTACAACCAGGGCTGGACTGGTAATCGGGCATTTTCCCGGTGGGCCAACAGAATGTTTTTTTTTTTTTTGCCAAGGGCCATCACGCATGTACAGCGAGCAGCCAGTGGCCCATTGGTTTGTCTCCTGTATTGACAGCGTAAACCATCCATTCACAATGCGCTATAGACAATGCGATGAAGTATTTTGCTCCGCCTATATAAAGATTGCTTCACCCCAACTTCTTCCTCGTCGGCTTTTCCCACGTTTTCACAGCAGCTTTATCAAGAACAGGCTTGCTCTGCGGTGAGTGATGCGGGCCAAAGAGCCAGGCAGGAGGAGAAGAAGAGAGTAGTTGAATCTGTAAAGTGCTTGATAGGGACTCGCAGCGGAGGCAGGCATCTAACCTATCCTAACGTGTGTGCACGCCATGATTGTAGAATACGAAAACACTTTTTAATATAACGGAAATTCGTCCCCCGCGATTTTTTTGGCCAAGTCAAGTCAAGTGTGTTCATAGAGGCAGGGGCGTGGCCATCATTTCAGAAGTAAGGGGGACAGAAATGTAATGTAATGTAAAAAAAATAAATATACAGTATATATAAATAAATATGTTTTTTATTTTAATATATTTTAAAATATAATTTATTCCTGTGATCAAAGCTGAATTTTCAGCATCATTACTCCAGTCTATCCTTCAGAAATCATTCTAATATGCTGATTTGCTGCTCAAGAAACCTTTTTTAATTATTATTATTATTATCATCAATATTTAAAACAGTTGGGTACATTTTTTTTCAGGATTCTTTGATGACTAGAAAGATCCAAAGATCAGAATTTATCTTAAATGAAAAGCTTTTGTAACACTATACACTATACCATTCAAAAGCTTAGAGTCAGTATGATTTTTTTATTTTTGTATTTTTTTTGGAAAAGAAGTGATCAAAAGTGATGATAAAGACATTTATAATGTTACAAAATATTTCTATTTCAGATAAATGCTGTTCTTCTGAACGTTCTATTCATCAAAGAAACCTGAAAAAATCTACTCAGCTGTTTTCAACATCATAATAATATATATAAATTTTTTTTTTTGAGCAGCAAATCAGAATATTAGAATGATTTCTGAAGGATCATGTGACTGGGGTAATGATGCTAAAAATTTAGCTTTAAAATCACAGGAATAAATTACATTTTAAAAAATATTTAAATAGAAAACAGTTATTTTAAATAGTAAAAAATATTTCAAAATTTTACTGTTTTGCTGTACTTTGGATTAAATAAATTGGTGAACAGAAGAGACTTCTTTAAAAACATTAAAAATCTTACTGTTCAAAAACTTTTGACTGGTAGTGTATAGGCAACTTAAATTTTTCTCTTATTTCTAGCTTTTAATTGGATAAGAAATCAGATATACTGCTGGACAATAACCAATAATAATGATTTGTTTATATACTACAAACACTTATCAAATATATTTTTTTATTATCACATAATAAGGCAGAATAGTTTCTATACTGTAATGAATGCTATGTCAATTAGGACTGCATTGTTCATATACATTATTTATTACCTGGAGATGACTGGAGAAAACACAAATAAACCATATATTGTCGCAATCATATGTTTAACGTCTTCATGTTTCCAAATGTTTCTGTTTTTCTGTGAAAAGTAAACAACTGTTTTCATACAGCTATAGACGATTTTGTCCATATTAGGGATTTCCTGGTACGACTTTCTGCGCGAGAGCGCCCTCCGGCTTCGAGTATGAATGAAACATACACTGCATGAGTGTTTAGCGCTCTGTGATGTTCATCTTGCCTTATTCTGGGTCCGAATAAAACATCAGGTCATGCACAGACTATCCTGTCTCTTTGAATTTAAATCTATATTTGTTCACACTGGCTCTTGAAAACCTCTATGCAAACACACTTGCCTGAAAAAGTGCGGGGGACGAATTTACGTGATATTAAAAGTGGGGGGGACACGTCCCCCGCGTCCCCCGCGTGATCTACACCCTGCATAGAGGTTTCCATGGGCCAATGCGAATAAATCTAGATTTAAATAAAAAAAAGACACGATATTGTCGGACCTGACGTTTTATTCTTATCCAAAACAACTAGATGCAAAGATACATATCTACACTACCAGTTAAAAAAATTTGAACAGTACGATTTTAATGTTTTTTAAAGAAGTCTCTTATGTTCACCAAGCCTGCATGTATTTGATCCAAAGTATAGCAAAAGCAGTAATATTGTGAAATATCATTACTCCAGTCTTCAGTGTCACATGATCTTCAGAAATCATTCTAATATACTGATTTGCTGCTCGAGAAACATTTCTGATTATTATTATTATTTTCAATATTGAAAACAGTTGAGTACATTTTTTCAGGATTCTTTGATTAATAGAAAGATCCAAAGATCAGCATTCATCTGACATAAAAAGCTTTCGTAACATTATACACTATATACCATTCAAAAGCTTGGCGTCAGTATATTTATGTTTTATTATTTTCTTGGGGGTTGAAGAAATTATGGAAATGAATACTTTTAGCAAGGATGCTTTAAATTGATCAAAAATGATGATAAAGACATTTATAATGTTACAAAATATTTCTATTTCAA